TAATGAGAAATACAAAAAAAAAATAAGCATTTTTTATTATAGTAAAAATATTTTGAAAAAATAACTTAAATATACCATTTCTTCACAACTAAATAGACGATTATGCGATATAATGGTATTTTTCTTATCTAGTCATATTAACTTTGCATTTTTCTCTGCTTATGGTTATGGTTAACTCTATTTACGAAGTATTGTTAATTGTAAACAAGTATTGTAATATACTATAATATGGTTAACTTAATCGTAAAACCCCTTTTGCCGTGTAATTAATTATTATCTATCTCATTACCAGTATGAAATAGACAGGGACTCTATTGACTTTACGCCTCCTTTTCAGAACCGTATTTTTACATGTTTGACGTCAACATAAAGTATAGAGAATTAATTTAAAAAATACAGGAAGAAATGGAAAAAATTGAGAAAAATAATTGTAGTTAGTTTAGTTTTTGGATTTCTATGAAACTACTAAATAAATGAACACAACAAAAGAGCTAACGTCACAAAAAGTTATCTAACTGCCTCTTGTGTACGTTTGTATTATTGTTAGAAATGTGCATTATTTATTTATGTTTCTAAACAAATTTAGTGCCTATATGCATGTATGTCCACGTATTTCTCAAAAATTAGATATGAGATCATAATGATTCCGTTATAACAATTAAATATTAATTGACTCTCAAAAATAAATAACAAATTTTTTTTAGAAAATAAAAAAACTTCTCTCTTAAAAAATCCTTCTAAGTTTCTAGAATTATCTTTATTAAACTTTTAAATAGCGGGATGTAACTGAGAATAATATATAATCTCTAATATGAAATATTAAAAATTCCTTATTCCTTATAGTTTTCCTTATAGGGGAAACTTTGTACATAGTAATGGAAAAATTTGGTAATAAATCCAAAAAAATTGCGCTTGACTTACGGATTCGCTTGGCTTATTTCAAAGTGTATCAAATTTATTATAAAAAATAATTTAGAAAGTAGTTGCAGTATTCCATTTTAAGTGTAAGTATTATTCTAATTTGGTTAACTCTATAATAAAAGTTAAGTAAAGGATTTTTAAAGTAAAAGGTGGTATGGTGATTTATCAAAGAACTCTTCGCAGTAACCGGTGTAATTAGGGTTGGCGACTTTTATTAGTATAAATAAAGTATGGAGTGTGAGTATGGACTAGAGTAAGAGTATGATAAGGTAAGAAAGAGTATGGTAATAGAGTAAGAGTATGGACTTATAAAAAATCATATAATTAATTTATCATTTTCATAAAGGCAAATTTTGGTCGTTTTCGGTCACTCGGTCATATTTATTAGAATATATCGAGGACGGCAAATCGATTAATATACAGTAAAATATCATCAACACGGTAAAATTTTAGACATTTTTTAATAATTATTTAATACATAAAAAGAAAAATAATTGACAGATAACCGGTCTATTGTCCTCTCGACATATATCACTGTTTTTGCATTGTTGTTGCAGTTGACTACGCAGCAGGTTTCTTAACCCATGTTTATTTATTAAAATACACGGATACTTAAATTTCTCTAATAAAAAGTAACAGATCCTCTGCCGGAATTTCCTTTTTTAGTCTCGATGCGCTCTGTGATCTTTTCGTATTTCTTCCACCTCCTACTTAGCACCCAGCGAATAGAGCACACCTGTTTGATATATATTACAATACTCTTAGAGTATATTTGACAACCCTAGGTGTAGTACTCGCCATGCATCGTTGCCGGAGCAAGACAAGCTGTCGAGCGAGACGCGTGCCCATCACGCAGGGTTACTTTTTGTCTAGATAATTTTTTATATCATTGTTTCGTTTGACGATTCGCTATATTTGGACTGTGACGTCTGTTGACCAGCTTTAGTATGAAAAATACGAAATTCTTATTGACGTAACATTTAAATGTAGATTCAGGTAGGTACTTTACTAATTTATTTGGAATTAAATTATAGCAATAAATAAGAAGGCGACCTTTGCAAATGTCTTAAGCATCCATAATCGATATAGAATTATTTTCAATTAAGGCACGAAGACGCAATACATGAAATAAAAAAACTAAGACCGAAATGTGAATTTATGAATAATATTGAATATTAGATTTTAACTTTTTTGTACATATGTACCTTTTATTAACGTTTGAGGTAATTTATAGCCCCTTTGTATACTATAGCTTGCTGTACCTGTAAATGCTTGTATATTTTTTGCATAGCATCATCACTGTTTATCAGAGCAGACTGAGCTGGCAGCCCTACATACATAATTTAACCATAATTGCACGTGTAGGTACTTCATAATAAACATGGTACTAAGTAAACCAACTGGAAAGCGGTCTAGGTATATGTAATTATATAACAGTAAAGATTGCTCACTAAAAACAAAATTAACTTGAAAATATTTTTAATATTCTTTCCTTTATATTCTTGGTGGTTGTCACCAAACTAATATTCACAATTCTTTTTTTTTTATTTGAAATCTACTTTGAGTGTCTGTCTTGTGATGATTTAAACCAAGAATCCATGTTTTATTGTAGGTTAGATTAATTCTAGTAACATTATAAATTTGATGTTTACAATTTTCGGTTATTATGAATTCCATTAAATAATTTATCACACAAATATATACCTTAATTCCATTTTTTAATGGTATGGTAAATGTTAATTGCACTCTCGTGCGCGTGACGTAGTAAGTGCACAAAAACATACATTCCAAAATTGGGCGGACATCAGTCGAAAATAAACAAAGTAATAAAATAATTTTAATCTGTCCGTTACCGTTTAAGACCATTGCGGCTTGACAATTTAGTATCGGTCGACTTTGAGATAACGATATACGACCTCTTTTGTCGATGCAATAATAATACTTACTTTAAAGTAATGATCTTCGTGAATACCAATGAATGAATTTGGTATGAGACTTTATATTTGTTCGACACTTTAATTTTTGATTAAAATAGGCACTCTTATGATACGCTTATGATATTTCGAGTTGATTTGCGTAAATATACTAATAAAAATATGGAATAGGCATAGCAGGTGGGTATATTATTTAATTACGTTTTTTACACAATGCAAAGGAGGGGAGTTATAAGTTTAACCTGTCTGTTTGTCTCACTGTGGCATCGAAGTTTCTGATTGAACGAATCGATTTTAGTGCGTTTATTTTAGATAAAGTCATAAAGATAATTTCAACATTTATTATTTTTTTTTAATAGAAAGTAGAAAAGAATTTAAAAATATATTTTTTATTTAAAAACTCTGACCTAAAAAATCACTTTATAATATATAAAAATAATATTTAAAATCAAATCTTTTAAATAAAAATGTGCTTGGTTAAACAAAATTCTATTGTAGTCTTCAGAGTCTTAGATTACAAATGCTCTACAGAACGTGTTGGTATAAAAGGCGGGAAAAGTTATTTTAACTCCTAGCGGCTAGATAATTTATATATGTACTTATATATATTAAAATAATATAAAAATGAATCCCTATTTTCCTCAGTCACGCCATCACATCTAAACGGCTGGACCGATTTCGCTAATTCTTTTTATATTTGTTGTATTTGTTATCGTCAGGAGAAGGTTCTTATGAAAGAAAAAAAATAAGAAAATTGTGTAAAAAGTTTGAAAATTTAAGAATATATAATTATTTTATACATTCTTATGATGAGCTTCGAACGATTTAAAAACTTTTTTAATGTTACCTTTGACGTTTGACATAGAATTGACAGAATGCGTGCTGCAAATATCTTCTAATACGATGAAAAAAGAACTGTTGAATTAAACATTCATAGTATTGACATTTACAAACCATGAGTACCTACCGCATCTCTATTGACATTCACAAACCATGAGAAGCTACAACTACCTACCTAATCTCTATAATTTTGCTCATTATACAACAGCCCTGCGATTCTGTAAAACTCCAAACCCGAATTCGAATTCTCTCAGGTGTCCGAATTGACTTCAAAAAGAGGCATACGCTCAACCTTGAATTGGTAATAACGTTTCGTAGCATAAGTGAAGTGAGTTTCGAAATGATATAGGAATAGAATATCTGAGACACGTGTATTCAATCAATTTTGTTTTGTATTTGTATACAAAAAAAATGGAATCAATAGAATTTTTACACTAAATGACGTGAATTCGGACACATGAGTGAATTCGAATTCGGGTCTGGATTTTTACAGAATCGCAGGGCAGTGCGAAATATATGACGAGATCCAACGCATCAAATGACTTGAAGAATTCGCGGTATATCACTGGAGATTATGGTCATGCTCACGTTTTCGTGCTTTAAGACGACAGTTAACGATTTAGACCACTACGGTATTTTCGATTGCAAGTCGACATATGTAGGTATGCTAAATTGCGGATCATTTTAAAGCGTGCCGGTATTCGACACGATAAATCACGGCTTTTTTGACATTCAACTTTGATAATGAGGTAATCGTTTGTTGGAATTTTTGAACCTTTGTCCGATAAATACAGGCACATTTGAGAAATATTATTGACTAATTAATTACAGCGAATAATTCGATAATTATATACTTTCTTGTTTAACTTAAAATAACACAATCTTTTATGTACAAAAATTCACACGTTAAAGGCTGCTAGTGAAATTTATTGAACATGCAATGGCAAAATCTTATGTTTCAGTAGAAAGTTTGAGATAAAATATATAAAAATACTTTCAAGGAAGTTAAAATTACCAAACAAATGTGACTCCTTGTCATTGGTGAAACGCATTTACACTTTAGACAATGTCTAAATTGAGTTTTAGATTTAGGCGACTCCTAAGTTTAGTGAAAATAGGCATTAGTAATTTTTAATTTTTTGGTGTCCAAACAAAGTTTTTGCTAAGAGTGTTATTTTTTCTCCGTATAGAACCTTTTTCGAACTTAAAAGGAAAATAGAAAAGTCAACACGTTTTCCCATATAAGGTGAGGATACTAAATTCGACTTGTCAGCGAGTACTAAGATATTTTTTTTTTGTTTCCAGAACTAAATCGAATTCGGTGGTGAGCGGGGGAGACAACAAGGAACCTGCGCCGGCGCCGTCTCCCGCCGACTCCGGAGTATCTGAACTGGAGCGTGATCAACATGATTACAGGTAAATTGAAGCTGCTGCATAGAGTCATGTAGATTAAATGTGTACCATGGCCAAGAGTCCATAATAGTGGCAGCAATGTTCGAATCTCGCTAGGCATTAATGCATATGTTCTGAGGGTTTATGTTCGATAATATTCGTATGTCTGTCGATTATCTATCCATCTAGCGTTACCAGGCGTCTAGATAAAGCTGAACATAGGAAGGCTTTTTGATTGCGTGTCCGGTCAAAATAAAGAGGGTCTGGCTTTTTTCTAGGCTTAGGCTTAAAAACTAAACAAACGATCTCGCGCGCGAATAATCTAACAAGCTTGATTTTACGTAATTTTTTTTTTTTGTCGTACCTATTAATACTGAGACACAAAATCCTTAATAATGTAGGATGTTATCGACGAAGGTGAGGAGCGTAGTGTGGGCACAGATGCGAAAATAAAACCGATGAGATCCTCGTCAAAACAGGTGTCGATCAATCGCATAATAATATAATTTTGTATTACGTTTAAATCAATTTTAAACTTCTAACACTTGAAATGGAATGCGTTTTTTGAGTTCAGACTGACCTGACTGACTGATTCGATGAGCTATTTCCGAATTAATGAAAGTAGCAGAACTCATCTCATAAGGAGAAAGTCTGATTATCACAAAACGGACCTTTGTCGCTTCCAAAAAAAAGTTTTCTTGTGTTGAAAATGCCCGTGAGAATACGCATAGGTTGCATTATTATCGAGTGATTCCGACGGTAAGAGATTTTTCGAAAAAAGGCTGTAATTAAATACATTAGAATTTTTTTGTACACATGTCTCAACCCCTCACCGATATGTTTTGAGATCGTTAACTTCTGCTCCGAGGATCCTCAGTTAGAGCTCAGCGCTTGGTGGTTGAAGACGTTATCGAAATAGTGGACCCATTATTGACTCGAAAAACTAGGCCGTCGTGTACATATGTATAGGGCTTTCCCAGGCCCCGAACGCATGTTTCGCGTGGCGTCAAGCTCGTCTAGTAGACAGTAGTTTTTTATACATTTTTGAAGTTTAATTGTTTTATATTGTCATTTTTATTGATCGACACTGTTTTCGACGAGTACCTTTGCTTTGTGAGAAATAGAGAATTTATGGAGATATCATTAGTTTTACTTTCACATCGATAGAATGGCCGGACAACAAATGTTACCTTCGTCGATAACATTTGTTGTCCGGCCTTTCTACCCGCACTGGCTGGTCCAGCCAAACTGGCTGGTCTGTCAGGCTATTATGTTGGGCGACCTGGCCTTTTTCCATCCATAATTTCACGCCTTTTTCCGACGGAGTAGGCAGAGACCACCTGATTCCATTTTTCCCGATTCTGACATACCGGTCGACTTCATGTTGATTTCTTAACAATTTCAGCACGACAGATCGTCTCCGAAGTCACGAAGTGCGACTGCGAGCGCCTCGCGGGCTGATGCTGCAAAACTATGGGTCTCGCTCGCACGAAAGGGACGCCGAACTGGCGCGAGTGAGACGGGACAGGGCTCTTTTACGGCAACGACTGGAGGACACGGAGTGGAGTCTGTGCCAGCGAGCAGGGGAAATATCACTGCTCAAAACACAGCTCAAGGATGCACAGGTATATTCTACATATCTGTAAACCGTTTCTCGAAAGAGTTACCTTGGCCTAATTCATTAAAGCGAAAAGATTGTGATCCGAGGGACTTCTTTTGTGAAACGAACTTTAAATATCTATTTTTTATTTTTGTTACTTATGTTTTTTTTTATAAATTGACCAAAAAAGTTGTCAGTTAATATTACAATGGAAGCGACTCCGTTGAACATAATTCATTTTAATTCTACTGCGTTTTTAATTCTGTAAATTACTAAGACAACTTCTGTAAACTTCTTTAAAGCAATTTATAATATGCAGGAGTATTATTTTTTTGATTACATGTGACTACGGGATAACGGTAAAACAAACTCAAAATAATATTAGATTTTTTTGTTTAAGGAACTGCACGCGTAGCATGACAAACTCGAGAACGTTTTGTCTAAACTCAAATGTTACTTTGCTCGGGTTTTATTCGTCCTTCAAAGACCGGCAGCGCGCTTGTAGCTCCTCTGGTGTTGCAGGTGTCCATGGGCGACGGTAATCACTCAACATCAGGTGATCCGTCTGCCCGTCTGCCCCCTATCCCATAAAAAAAACGATATCTCACTCTCGACCCGAGAAACTGACAAATGAGTGTAGACAAGGCGTTTCTCGATTTTTTCATGCTACGCGTGCTGCACAATATAATTGTCACTATTATGTCGTATTTTACCAGATTACAACAGAAGGTACTCTTAACGACATCTTTTGTATATATAATTAACCACTGCGCCGTGTGATGTGTTCAACTCTACATAGCACAGCAACGTTCATTACTTTATCGCTAGGTGTCGCTAGTAGTATTCAATTCTGAAGTAGGTCATTCAAATTGAGTGAATTGGTTATAATAGCTACTCGCTACAAGTTGTACGAGCGGTTGAAGGTCTGATTTATGCATAACATTTTATCGAGCGAATGGTGTAATTGTATAAATATACTTTTATTTATAAAACAATATGGGCTTGTACTAAGTGCCTATTAAGGTTTCCGTAACTACGAAAAATACGTTCCTATAGCAACCAGTAATAATTCCTTCATTAGGATTATTAATAAAAATACATTGAAATCCAATTTTGTTACTAATCTACACAAAGTCACAAAAAGTTAAATTATATAAACATTGATAAGTAAAACCAGAAAAGATTCCCTAATATTATTTTTTACATTTCAGAATGAACAAACAGCCAAAGGGCACGAGTACCTCACACTGAAAGCAGACTGCCGCCAACTAAGAGAAGCTTTGGACAAGAAAGAGAAAGAAATAATGAGGCTCCGAGCGGAATCAGAAGAAAAAGAGAAGACTGCAAACCGACTACAGATACAAGTAGACAAACTGACCAACGATTTAACAGAGAGCGTCTCCGACTTAACAAAGACTAAAGAAACAAGCAAAAACGAGATAGAACGACTGAAAACAGAATTAAAAGAACTAAGACAAGAACTATCGGATGTATCCCTCAGCGGTTACGAAGGCATCGAATGCGGGAGAACAATGAGAGGTATATACGATGTGTGTAAAAGTAATGAGTATCATTGGAATTCCAATGATAGTGCATTGGAAGATGCTGAAGTACAAAGACTCAATGGTGAGTTACCCGATTCGTGTGGGGAACCGTGTCCAGCCAGTCAGATGGTGGAACGGCTCAAATGCGAATTGGAAGCTAAAGAAGCTCAGTTTAATATCGAAAGAAGGAAATGGTCTGAAGAGAAGGACAAAGTGTTGAGATATCAGAAACAGTTACAACTGAACTATGTACAAATGTTCAAAAGAACGCGCACCTTAGAAGCGGAACTAGACGGTCTCAGACTCGAGTTGGATATGTGCAACAAGAATATGAAAAACATAAACAAACACGGAAAGGCAATAGAATTGTAAACACTACCAAATTAGATAGATTTAATATTTATAAAGGCTATTTTGTTTAGTAAACGACATTGTAAATATTTTCTAGGTTAATACGCCGTATGGTTTTCTTGCCCGATGATGTTATATAAGAGTTTCCGAACTTATTACTAAGTTTCAAGGAATAATACTCGAGTGACCCTAGCGACAATTCAAGATATATTATTGTACATTTGATTAGATTAAGAGCGTAGGACACTTTTAAATACGGTTTACACATTAAGTATTAAAATTTAAGTTATTCTAGATATAAATAAAAGTATTTTGAAATATTTCTACTGTGATTTGGGAGTTTCATTCGGAACCTTTGACTGAAATCTTACATTGAGACAAAGACGAATGCTTCAATTGTTTTAAAATACCGTCAAACTATTATTACTTACAAATAATACGTCGAATACACAGCTGTCATTGCCTTAGGAGGATCAATAAAATAAAACATTTATTACCCGGTAGGTAATGTTTGAAGTTTATTTGAAATTGTAATGACAAAGTAGAGTTGCGTTCGATGCAGCATCGAGATTTTAAACAGAAAAATACTTAATGAAAAATATTTAAAAAATCACTTTGTCCCTTGCAATCCGGGTACTGTTAAACTCAAGGGTATAGAATAAATAAATTAATAAATCAGTGCAACACCTGTTTATTACATACACACTTGCAATTTTACACAGATATGGATCAAATTCACAAGCTTGAACTGCCAACGTAAAAAGGCAATATAAGGTAAGGTAATTGCAATATCGTATAACCTTTTGCGTTAATCTAAACGAACTCCTTTGTTCTTGATTCTCTTAAAATATTATAACAGCGAGTAGTCACGGAGACTTAATAAAAAAGGCTGTGTCGTCACAAGACGAGATACAACGGAATCTTTGTATTAGTCCTGGAAATAAACGCTTGGATAATTAAAAATATCGCTGTATCGTTATCTAAGCTTCGCATGCTTTTATAATTTAAAATTTCCGTTTTAAATTAGATAAACCTAAGTTCCCCGATCTAAATGAAAATGTGTCTTGCTTTACATCCGTGTTGGTTCTTGTCGACTTCGCCGGTTCCACCTGAAATGCATTTTAACATACATTCAATTTTATTTTAGAAATTAGGCAGACGACAGAATATCTTTCGGCTCATAAAATATACATAATATACATAATACTAGGATCAGTGAAATTATCATTTATTTACAATAAATCCTCACTGATTATAACTAATGCCTTTATGGAAAAAATCACGCACATTTCTAGAATTAAAATTGAACCTGGCATAGTATATCTGATCTTAAATCTTGTTAGTAAGGTTCAACAAAGTTGTTACATTTGATCAATTTAGTTAGAACATGCATGTGGCATCGATGAATTTTTATGCAATTTTATTTAACTCGATGAAGTTCAAAATAATGAGCGTGATGAAATAATCAAGTCTTATGTCAAACCTCTGCATACGCATACGCTCGAAAGAAGTACAATTGTTAATACATCGTAGGTAATTAGTTCCTAAAAATCTGATTAAATCATTATCTGTTTTAAATATTAGCGGACTGAGCGAATTAAGAGATAAGACAATAAATTAACCTAAAAGATGATAGAACTCATTCCATACAGATTTTATGATATGCGTCTCGCGTGGTTAGCAGCCATTAAACATTGAACGGCTCAGGAAACTGGACTGTCAGTAATTTATGTTCATATAAAAAGTTTTGGTAAGTGTCTTACGTCCAAAACGAGCGCATTTTATCAAAAGGACACATCACGATCGGCTTAAAAAACAAACTACCAACAAACTTTATAAATTTAAACTATTACAAATGAAATTGGCACAGAAAATTATGAATAATCATAAACTTAACCTACGTTGCCAACAATGTAAGTTTAATGTTGGCAACATAAATTAATTTCAAAATATAAAAAAAACAAAAGAAATGTTTTACGTTAACGATTGAGTAATAAACCATGAGGAGCTCGCTGGTGCAGGTGTAAGTGCGACCAAAAATGTATTACATGGATGTGAGTTATAGCTCATTCTCCATAGTTATTTGTTTCCATCCTTAGGAAAGGCCTTAGCTCCAGAGCCGGAATATTAATAGGCTGATAATGCATTAAACTTAATACTGTAACTACCTGAGTGACGTCAATGGTTGACCGTTTCCTTATCTTGTACCACCAGTATTCGACTCCGAGAGTGATGCAAGCAAGTCCAATACCCATGAAGATAACTATAAATACACCACCTATGTTCTGAATCGAAATTCCGTCCGACTGAAAAATAAACAATAGTTTTCACATACCAAAACTTCGTTACTAATTAACAAAATAAACTTATTTCTAGTAAAAAAAAAAAACGAAAATCAAACGTAAATTAGCAATATTTGCAGTGTTACCAGTTTAGTCATATATCCACCAAAGCGACATGTCTAAGTAGTAAAATGAAATGAATTGACAAGATGTTGCATTGCTAAGATGTTGCATCGTATGGGTAAAGTCATGGTAAGAGTTAGGCATTGGTGGGGGTGGTCGGATCGCTATTGGGGACAGGATTTACAGGATTTTATATGTTTTCAGGGTTCATTTATGAACAGTTAGTTCCTTTCTCGTTCTTATTATTGGCTTTACCTGATCGTCTTGTGTCTCACATTTCTTCGCTTTCGGATTGTTCGTCCACCAATTTTCTTTTAACTTCTCTAACTTTCTTTTATTGAGCAGTTGAAGAATCCTTAAACAAAAATAATATGTAGATATGTGAGTTATTAACTAATTTTCCATCTTTTTACTCGTATTATTAGAACAATACAACTTTGTTGTTATAACTTTTTAAACACTCTCGAGAAAACAAACAGTCAAGTTAAATTGGAACCGCTTTGTATGAAAGGCGGCGTTTCATACTACGAGTATTTTTTATATTTTGAACAAGTTTAGTTGATACAAAATGCTAATATTTGAGTTTTCATATAATAAACATGCTATGAAATCTTCCTTAGCTGATCACCAATAAGGTTCACTGACGAACATAACATACGCAAACATTCATTTGAGGTTAAAACGCGATTTTGGGCTTTGTATTTTGGCTATTGAATTTGTATCTATATTGTCTATGTCGCTATAAACTAGTTCTTTAACTATATAAAAAAAATATTAAAACATCTATTACGAAAAAAATATATTAAAGAAGTTTTGCTATGAGTACTTATGTATTAACAAAATAGAGCTGCGCTTCCTTTAATTAGTGCGATTAAAACATGTAATAGCTCCGTACTCAACCTGCTGTAAAACGACAAACAAGTATCTCTACACATAGGCAATTTATATATTCGTAGAACGATACAAAATGTCGTGACGGTCACCTTTGCATGCCCAATTTACATAAAACATTCATCGTGTTGTATTAGACTAGACGTCGAAGAACTATTGTATGAAATTTCAGAGTTTATTCAACTAATTCTTTATCTATGCTAAATCTCATTTGGCGGTCTTTAAAATGTCTTTGAAATCAACATATCCATTCTAGATTATACCTCTGTTGTCTTTTCTAAACGTTCCTGTCTGTTTATAATCTTATAAATAACTGACTTAAAAATCGAAAACGAGGAGGTTATATGTTTCACGGCGATGTATTTTTTTATGTATATTCACCGATATTTCCGTCAAGGATTGGCCGATTTTCAAAATATTTTTTAAATCGATAGCTTAATAGACCGAGGTGGTTTCATTTAAATTTTAACAAATCGAATGGGTAGTTTTCCTTTAAATTTTCTTTCCTAATACTTTCACTATGTTGAATATTTTAATTTATAATTATTAAAAATTGTTGGTAACACTATCAATTTTTTATTATATAAAAAATATGTAAAAACACTTTTTTAAAAGTTTAAAGTCAGTTCTATGTTTTTGAAAAAAAAAGTATGAGTCGCCCGGATTGCGAAAGGTAATTTTTTAAGCATTATTCATTAAGAATATTTATCAATATTTTTAAATATAATAAAAAGTTAGTTCAATATTGAACCTATTAAAAAGTAACGATACTTATAATTTTACGTTCACATATAGAAATCAAACACCGCTATACCTACGATAAGAGGCAAGAATGACTTAATTAAGTACCTATACTACTATTCATATAACCTACTTATTCATACAACAACGGTGGCCTAAAATTACAATTTGACATCAGTTGATGTTAAGTGCACCGTCATGGGCTTAATGTCCATTATACTAAAATATTTTCAATAATTTCTAATAAGTATCTAAGTACTTTTGTGATCAATTGATTTAAGTATTCTAATATGACGTCGTTATTTTTGTTTCAAAGGATTATATAATAAGATTATGGCTAAGTTTTAATCAAAACTGGTAACAAAAGCAGTCAGTGTTTAATTAACAAACATAAATTGCCTATTGTACGCGCTATAAGCTGTATATTCGTTTCGGATCCACGTTATTTATTACTTCACATTGTAGGTTGTCTTTTATGAAATAGGCTTTATGACCGGCAATGATATTATGGTTTTTCAAAATTATTATTTCTTATTACCCTCAAATAAATCAAATTGTCAAGCTTAGTCAAACTTTTATTCATTTGCCTAAGCATCGAACCCGACACAACTTTCACAACCTGTTTTAGGGTTTTCCGTAATAGACAAAGCTTGGTAGATATTTCACGCAGCTATACTTTTAGATTTACATCTCATTGAAATTATAATAACTTTATTATTATTAGATTTATATGATTAAATTATAATGATTACAGTAGATGATTTTTTTACCAACTGACATTCCTCAAAATTTCAAATCACGAAAGGTGAATAATATAAAGAAATGATGTTGAAGATCAAATACAAAAAGTTTGCATGCGGAAACCTAGGACGAAATAAAGGGTCGGTGGTGCGACGCACCGTTACATTCTTTCGCAAGGGCAAATTAATCTAATTATAAATCAATTGAAAGATATTTAATTTTCAAATTGTTCAATGTATGGCAGAAATGGGTAAATTTATAGTACATTGTAACTTAATGGGCGTACATTGTCACAAAAGCTATATTTGTTTACAAATATTGTCGTTAGTTGATTCGACGCAAATATCAAATCATTAAATTCGAATGACATCATTACTATTTAGATATAAGTTGTATACTTACGCATTATTAAACTGGTCTTTGAGTGGCGACCCTTGCTGTACAGCAATTGCGTATGGTTTCCTCGAAAATTCATCACCAACCATTTGGAGATCGCAATTCGTTAAGACATGGTATCTGACATCGGTGGCGTCACCGAGCCACGCGAAACCTTCGCTGGAACTTTTGGAAGCTCTGACTCTTTGGAGAGCTTCCTCCACCGTGTTGGGAAGGCCAGCCTCTTTCATTGCTTGCCACATCTTGCTGTATTTGTCGCTAACTGGATAATCCCATACAGCCAACTTTGCCCGTTCTACGTCGCTAAGACTGTCGTTTAGGCTCATCTCCTTCCATATTCTTAAGGATAAATAATTGAATAGAATGAATGCGGAAATAATTTTAAATATAGGAGACATCATATACATTGTTCAGATTTCAAATATAACTAAAATCCTCATATTTAGAGTTATATAAACAACTAAAGTACTACGGACACCCGACGCATAGACAAACTAGAAAAGTTCATTTTCTCGTTTCATTCACCTGTCCGTGAATCGAGCCCTGAACGGTGATGACAGACCTTGAAGTTGCAGGTCGTCTAATAATATGGAACATAAATTATTATTATATAATATCTTTAAACGAGCAATTCTTGTATGCATATATGTATATATGCATAAATCACCGCAATGACTTCAACGATTTTCATGAATTTCGATAAATCGCTCTAGCTCGTTTTTATTTAATACAATAAAACAAATATCGAGTCTTCCTGGTACTATTCGTTACCGATGAAAGCAAAAATATTTTTTTGCTGTTCATAAAACAGCTGCTGATCATAAAACATTCATAAAACAGAGTAAGGATTCGCGGTTGTTGCAATACAATTTGATTTTTTTTTATCGCCATCTTCAATTGTAAATAACTTTTTATCCAAAATTATCAACAGATTGATAGTAGAAGTAAGTACACATTGAAGCATCATATCAGGTTACGATTTTGAAATTAGCTAACAACATATTAAAGTATAATATCAATTGAAGGAGTTTTACCGTTTCGTGTAATGTAATCATTTGTCTCATGTAATGTCACTGACCGATAACAATAAGAAAAGTGTATGTAAAACTTATATTATTTATTCAAATAATATGTTACACACTTGAAAAGTGTTTATTCTATTATTAAGATAATGCCCCTTTATGAAGTTGACCTTGATGTGTTGATGCATCAAGATTTCTGAACTGAAATTGGCACCAGTAAAAGAATAACTGAAAGACAACCCGAGAGGTAACTGCAACCGGCATATTCGGCGAAAGATAACATGAATACTAAGAAGAACTAGAAGAATAACTTGAAACTTGGAGCTGGATGGACGGAGGAGAGTTAGAGAAAAACTAAAGAAAAAATTTTTTTGCATGACTAAGTAAAGATAAAAATAAACGAATTAAATAATGAAATGGCGGCAGATAGAGTAAAAACAAAAAGAAGACTGAGTTAGACTCAAGTAAATTGAGACCAGGGACAGGCAGACGATGATAATACGAGAAAAAAACATTTATTAAATTTTAATATTAAGGTAATTCCTACTCCAGTTGAATAACAAACTCCGATTATACTTCATACTGTTACTGTTGTCATACCTACTGTTGAAATTCATAAAGGCTATGCCGAATTATCAGATCAAGTCAAGATAATCTGAGACTATCAATGATAATACATTGCTATCAGCACATATCACAAAGAAAGTGTAAATAGGAACATTCTTTATACTTACTCATAAAATCTTACTTCAATATGTGCCATCCTTTCGAAGTACGTCATAGCTGCAGACCCGTTTAGAGGTGCATATTGAATCTTATATTGTTTCGATAAGTCATCCAGGGACTCTATAGGTGTATCCAGGCGGGAGACTGTGAGGAACGCTGCCAAATTCGCAGTGTACGACGCTATGATGATGAAACTAAACACCAGATGAAGGAAGGAATTAGGACAATTCTCTTTGTCAATTCAGAATTGTCCCGCAGGGCATGGACTTCAAGTAGATAGTGCAACGGCAAAATGCAAGTATTTCAGATTCTATAGAGATGCGACTTTACGTGAACATTAGCTAAATTGACCTGCAGTACTCTTGCTATCGCTATGCACACATAACGAAAGATTCTCAAAGGTATCGATATGTATATTAAATATACTAGAACCCGTCTTATGGTTTTTAAAAGATATTTTGAAATTCCTATTATTTAGTTTTATAACTAGTACGGTTATTTTTTCAATAAATTCTTCGGTATATAAGGTATTGGTATAAATAGAGGCTCTCCAATTTTCTACTCCGCTTTCAAAATATGTATAAAAAAAACTCGACAAAAATTTAAAGATGAGACAAAAATCTAGATTAGTAAAACCTTCGATGATTTATCGAGTCGTTATATCCCGTGAAACTATGAGACCACTTTGGGGATTACAGATATAGAAAATGATATGGGTACGTTTTAATACTTTAAAGTAGAAATACTTGTAAGTTATATAGTCACTCTTACCCGAACAGCCACCATGTTGCTGCTAAAAGTCTTCCGGAGAGATTCTTCGGTGCTTCCCCGCCTCCTTGAGGCGTAAGTGAAGTCATACAGAACCATAGACATTCTTTGAGAGTGAACTCCCGTTTCTCTTCATCATCTTTGTATTTTTCCCGGTTATTTTGGTAACTATATGGACTCCATTTGTCGAATACCCACATTAAGAAACTGAAATAATTATCTGAATTATTTTAACTTATGTTCTGGCTCTGTAGTTTTAGAGATTCAAAATAGCGTGGACTGTTCTGTCGTCTATTTTGTTCTAACTAACTTATTTTAAATGCCATAGATAATATTCGTGACTAGGGAATGCAATCTCGTTCTCGCGAGATCTAGGCCTTTTTTAGCGAGATTGATCTCGGTCGAAAAATGGGCGAGATTAACGAGATTGCACTTGAGTATAAAATTTTTGATTTATTCTAAGTGCGGCAGCGCTTTTAAAAGGCGAAGTTTTACACATTAACAGTACTTGTGTTTTCGAAAAGGTCTTCTTGGTGGCTGGTTATCTGGCCAGCACAATAATAAGACGAATAGCAAAGATTCTTCGCATATTTTGTGCTTCTTTCTAATTTCTTAAGAAGCTGCTTTATTGAAAATATCCTTAAAAAATGTTTATTTCATAATACCTATAATTTTTATATTTTTTTCTAATTTATTCAAATATTGTGAGTTGAATAAATATTACAGTAAAACAGTAAACACACAAAAGTGCAAATCTCGCGAGATCTAGTAAATGGCGAGATCCCGCGGTATTGATATTCATAATCTCGCGAGATCTCGCCCGCGTTCCAATCTCGCGACATTGCATTCCCTATTCATGACATATCGATAGTTGGAACGTTTCGAATATATAAGTTAGATTTATTTCTTTAAAAAAAAACTTTGAAAACTCTTTTAATTATTATATTTGATCAATTTTGTATTCACATTGCTATACTGGAATATATTCTTAATAAAAATTGCTTAGAAAATCTACCTTGTCCCTGGTACTCTAAGATTATTTTTTAAGTATTTTTGATTAAGAACTCTTTTAATGCAAAGTACCTCCATCAAGTTATACACATTTGTGAATATTATCAATTGCTTTAATACCTTAATACGTTGAAGCTAGAATTGAAAATCGAATGCGGGTATTTCACCATTTTGTGATAACCTAATGTGCTGCTGTGTAGAATAATCATTATGAAACTCTTAAATCGTCACAATTTGTTTTTTGTCAACATTTTGAAAGTCCTTTGATTAGACTAATCTTAGTACCTGTAGGACAATATTTACTCCATTTGGCAGGAATTCTTCACAAAAATAGTCGAATCCTTTGACCACAAGGAAGCTTCTCATAAATAGATTTAATTTTAAATTATCATTTGGATACAATCCAAGTTATGAGATTTTATACGATGTACGAGGAAATTTACAACTCATCGTGTCGTCAAAAGAAAAATTACTTTTTACTTTTTCAGAGATTTACTCTTTCATAAGAGCAATGATTAGTATGATTTTTAATGTTTGTTTTAATTGTTTCTTGGAAATTATTATGAACGAATGATAAAGAAAGATGAATATGAATTTGCCAGAAGAGTTTCCAGCTTAGTAATTTATCTCGGATATATCACCAAAATATATGTCAAAGTAGTAAAATGAAGCGAAATATCTTTATAATATTCGCTAAGATGTCGTATCCTATGGCAAGACAGGCGGTCGCAATCCATCTATACCGAACGATTAAAATTTATAGTGAGTCTTGTTTCAATAATTATAAGGTATAATTTTGGTGCATTTGGCATTTAGTGCTGCTTTGGATCACATTCAATGGGGGTCAGGCACTTGGATATTGGTGGATCACCCGATGGCGTGATACTTGAATCATTCGGATTGGCCAACATTTGCCGGGCTTCTTAAGTTTTTTCGCAGGTACTACATCATTGTGCCACATCAGTTATATTTTACTTTAAGTGTGTATAGATGGAGAGCTCGTGACAAAAATGTGCAAGAGCTTTCGAATGCTTTATTTTCCAGTATGTCGAAGTACGAAGTACATCTGAAAGTCTGAGTATTATTTTATGACAGACTTTCAACCTGTATTTTAGAAAACTTACTAAAACACAAGCACAGACAGACAGCAAAGAACAAATAATATAAGTAACAAAAGTCATCTTCAAATTAAAATTCAGATATATTTTTAAGTTTTTAGTTTATCTTTATTCGGATATTATTTGATGTTTTAATAATCCATTTCATATTTGATTTAGTTAACATGTGTATTGACCATAAAAGAGATAGTTTTAATAATGTGATCCATTTATTCGACCTCGTTTCACGAAATCAGATAATAAGTAATGGAGGCATGTGCCTGTATACACATTCATCGATCGATGTATAATCTACAGTACCTACGTTATGTACATAATACCAAATTTTTCGAATCTATTCTAAGCCTTAACCTAATTTGGTACCTTTTGTACTCAAGTAAATGAAATAATGTGTGTACCTACTAAAACAAATATAAGGATTCCGTACATAAAAATAAAACAAAACTTGTACGTACAATTCAAAGCTCCTAGTTTCAAATCAATCCAAACAAACAAATTAAAGAATAATCAAATACTTTTTAACCGACTTCAAAAAGGAGGTTCTCAGTTTGACCTGTATGTATGTTTGTGCATGATTGTCTCGCATTTGGCTGAACTCATTTTGATGCGGTTTTCAGTAAAGTATTTGACAGACTTAGGAGAAGGTTTTAGGCATATTAACCTACTAAAATAAATCGAGGTTCTCACTTTAACACGTGTTGTATTATTGTCAGATATTATCTCACGTCTGGTTGAACCGATCTTGACACGGTTTCCAGAAAAATATTTTTAGTGTTACCTATTCATTAATTATTATTAATATTAAGAGTGCCAATCATTTAATTAATAACCTACAGAACACCTTCGCCCGATTTTTAATAGCATTTTCTTGAATAATTCGCTTTTGAGGTAAGTGTTATTTTTCACTTTTTTTTAAGTTTGATGTCGGTTGTATTTTTTTAAAGTTTTTATATTATTTTTTTAATATTAGTCATAGATAAGTAAGTATCAGTACCTATAGATAAGCTTATTTCTACTTTTTGTTTTAACTTTTCAGTATGCTGTATTGCAAGATTGAATCCCACTACAAACTGAGTTGCAAAAGAATAAAAAAGAGAAAATACAAAAACGTTACAGTATCACTTGTCTGTCTTTTAGTATATAACAGCCGATTTTCTCCGAAACTTCTGGACTGATTGAATGAAATTCTATAGGCACTGAAGTAAATCCGTGACCAAAGACGTCGGCATAACGTAAATAAATGAATGTTTAATATGGCGGCATGTTGTGTGTGTAATATAATAAAAAGGTTCTCTAAACTACATTTCGTGACATCTATAATATGAAATTATTGTGTTACTGACTGACTGACAGACTGGCTGACTGACCGACTAACTGACTGACTGACTGACTGACTGTCTGTCTGTCTGTCTGACTGTCTGACTGACTGTCTGACTGACTGACTGACTGACTGACTGACTGACTGACTGACTGACTGACTGACTGACTGACTGACTGACTGACTGACTGACTGACTATCTGACTGACTGTCTGACTGACTGGCTGACTGACTGACAGACAACGTACAGACGAAATAACTGAGCGTAGAAAGTTGAAATTTGGAATGAAGATTCCTTAAGGAGTGTAGAGGAAGCACTAAGAGAGGATTTTTGAAAATTCCACTCGAAGGGGCTAAATTAGGCGATGAAAGTTTAAATGAAACTTCGTTGCTAAAAGTGCTAGGAGTTTCAAATTTTGCATGCGTGTTCTTTTTAGGACGTATGTGCTCACTAAGACGGGTTTTTACGAAATTCGGCCCCTAAAGGGGTAAATTAGGGGATGAAAGTTTTTATGGAATTTTCTCATTTCTGGATTTAAAACTAGACCTCGCGGGCGAAGTCGCGGGCAAAAGCTAGTATCATATGTAAAAAATCAATGAGAGAATATAATATAAGTCTATAGTTTCTGAAATTTTATATATATCTTTTTATTATATCACTTTTTTGAATGAATACTTGCTAACCATAACCTTAATTTATTAATTGTATATGAGCGCCGCACGTTAGTTTTGTGACTTCTTTAAGGTCTCTTGATTTGACCTTTATCAATTACCACTTGATACAACTTATTATTAAAGCGATCAATATAGCCCAATATAAATAAAAAATTAGTTTATCAAATATATATAGGTGCGAGTATCAAAGGATTCTTTTAAGCTTCCCATGGTGACTGGGTTATACAGTTTTATATTAACAGATAACAATTGTGTTTTAATAAGATGCTTTTAGAATTAGTAAATGTACATATTCTTAATAGCCGTGAATACTAGTAGATCCCGATTTAAGTAATCTTCACATTTTGCTCTATGATTAAAGAATCTCAATAAATAGTGGCAGCTTTTACCTTAATAGATATATAAGTTTACATATTATCTTCATTATTTTCTCAATTAAAAATGCCATTTAACGGAACTAAACCTTTTAATTTCTATGTACATCAGATTTGATCATTGCCACCAATGTAAGCTTATTTCACTTAAAATTTTCTTACTATGAAAACTAATAAGCTTTAAATTTTGTATTCGACCATTTTTAATTCGATTAAAAAAGCGTGTCACATAGTTGCACAGGACTTTTTGCTGTAACCGCATTAGAAACTCGGATCTATTTATTTTTTTCGTAATAACGTGTATTGTAATAACGCTAATGGCCCCAAAGAAAGATAACACAATAGGTACTATCCAAACAAAACCGATGATGCCATGAGAAGGAATTACCATAGTTTCGTTACATTTAATCGATTATACTCGTATTATTAACTAGGTAGCTGTTTTTCAGCGAATTTGCCTGTCTTCTTCATGATTATAGTGTCGTGCTTCAAGTAGGAGAAAGAATTTTCATGATCCGATCAGTATAACATACAAATAAACAACAAAAAAATTAGAAACTTTACCTCTTTACAATATTAGTAGAAACAATTGATACACTACACATGTGTAATCGCGCATTTATAAATGGAGTCACAGAAATATGGAGTGGATTTCATAATATTAATTATAATTTAATGTCACACCATTTTTTAACAGTACATGAACTTGACAAATTAAACAGGTAGTGCAGCAATTGGCGATGTTATCGTTAAATACGATTTCAAGAAGAATTAATAGCAGTTACAACAAAGGGGGTGTAGATTAAGACTACCTAATGCCAAAATAAATAATTGACATTTAGTAAAAATACATTAATACTTAAAAGATACTAAATATAGATAATATTTATATAAATACGGATGGTATATATAGAAATACATACATATGATACATACTAATAGAATTTCAATCAATAATAAGTAGTCAAGGAGGTATAAAACTAGGTATAGAACTGTAGGTAGATAATAAATGTAATCATTATTCAGATTTTCTCCGTTTCGCGGTAGTTCCATGCCCCGATGGTAGTCAATGCCCTCGTCATGTGTTATATAATTCAAGCTTAACGTCTAGTCTTAAGCTAGTCGAAAATATGAAAATATTAAACGATTATAACTAAAATGAATTATATTTTGAAGGCTCTCGAGTGCATGTGGACAAGCGGTCTACGCATGGTATTGGTATTCTGTAACAAATTTTCAATAAATAACTAATCTCTAGTCAGTTGCTAATTATATATTTTTTAATTTAGATGAAATTACTCATTGATATGTACTTTTTTGGTTTATTTATTGCATTCCACAATGTAGTATTAGGATGTTTATAAGAATAAAAACAAAAGTATCATTATGGACCCCGTCGGACACAGCACATTTGGAGAGAGGGGAAGACACTGCTTTAAAATATAGCTTATCGATAAAATATCGCCGTTATTGACATTTAAAAATTGTGATTTTTTAAGTGATTTTTACACATTGGAGTTGCTCATTTTTTTCATTAATTACGATTTTATATTATTAGTTGAATTAGGGAATAGGTCTGTAGGATGGGTGGTAGAGAAAACATTGAATGATTCAAAAGTGCTTATAATTACAGTATTATTTGAATAATTTTTTTTTTTGTTTATATTTCTGAAGAGTTATATTTTAATAGCCTAAAATTAAATACTTCGCTAAAAAAATGCTACCCTAATGAGAACTGGCAAATTAATATTCTGTTATTACTTTTTTAACCAGGCAGACTCAACTCAACAAAAAGGCAGACATCCGTTGCATTTAAACGTATAGGTACTTTTTTTAGTACAAATATACGACTCGCTTGCTTGATCAACTAGTTATGTATACCTACCATTATTATTGGGACGAATAAGAATAGTTTGCTGAGTATCGAATAATATATCTCGTCTCTAGAGAGCATGCATGCGTGACATTCAGAGATACCGTTATTTTTCAACATTAGAGCCGCGCTTTAATTAAGTTTATTACTGAGATTAAATTTTGCAATTTGTATTGTCATTTTTCTGTTATTAATTACGAAAACTATATAAATAAAAAATTACCGCTAAATCGAGAACAGTTGGTTGTATCATTTCTTTCATATTTATTAACGTCCGAGAAAGATTTGCAGCTAATAATGGAGCGAAAAAAATTGAGATGACAATGTGACCCTTTTCTTTTTCCATACAACACAGTATCGCCATCTAGTGACTTTTTTTACGTATCTATTTCCTCGTAAATAAAAAGGCTATCAGCCCCAAGATTATTATAAGATTATTAATACTCGGTGTCGTACTATGATTAAAAAAACTTTTAAATTATATTATGCGTTTTTATGTAATATTTATTTAATATTATTTATGGTATGGGCATAATTTTTGTCCATCAGTAGGTATAGAAATAAATCGAGAGATTTTCATTAAAGTCGGCAAAGTTTTCATAAGTTATAAGAGCTGCCAACAATGATAAAACAACAAAAAGTATTAAATATCTTATAAACCTTTATTTATGTATTTATATGTTTATCTATTATCGTATATATTTAGATATAGTTCTTATGTAGGGATATCAATAGCATAATGTCAACATTCGTCATATCTGTCGCCACTTTAAGTTTGGTACTAAATTACTGGTTGACTGGTAGAGAATGCCTCTTTGGCATTAAGTCCGCACATTTGTCTATTTCACTAGGCAATTAAGATTAAATAAATAAACGTACTTATTTCGCGCCTGCAACAGAAGGAGTGTTATTGATTCTGAAAACACTAAAAAATAAAGTCAAAATATCATTAATTAAACTAAACTCATCTAGTAACATCAAAAATTAAAATTCAAAAGTATGTAAGTACTTCTTTTTTTACCTACTCGTTCAGGTTATCTTTTGGCTGATGAGAAGAGCTAGCGAAAGGAACTCACTAGCTCTAATTGAATCTAACTAACCGATCTTGTTTACTCTTTGTCTTTTTGGACGCAGTCTTTGAACTTAATTCATATACATAGGTACATATACTGCAATTGATTTTGTTGTAAAAACATATAGGTATTTGAATTTACATTTACAGTTTACCGGTTCGTCCAAAATTATCGTCGTGTTATCGTCATTCAACTCGAGTCACTGACCTTCTTAAAAGCGTCTCACAATACAAATTAATGCGAAAAAGGTAATTTTTGAACATTCTAAAGAAAAAATATTGTCGTATTCATTGAAGCGATGTCTGTTGCTACATATCTAACTAGCTTGTAAAAAAGTAACGATGTATAATCGTATATGTTTATTGCTTCCATTTGAAAATTGAATAAAAGTTTTATTATGCCTATTATACGAGTACCTACCCATTTCAAGATAGATATAATTGTTGAGTTATAAGATTGAAGCATTTAACTTTGTATTCCATAATATTTCTTATATATATATAGATATATTTTCTTTGACTTTGAGAATAAGAACACTAAAAGTAAATAAAGAAACACTATGCTTTTCTTTCACCTCTATATAAGGTATTGGGAACTGTTTTAATATTAACATACCAACTTTTTTTGATTATGGAGTACTCTTTATTTTATTATTTGCGTATTTTTTTAAATAATCTTTGTCAAAGCATACGCGTCATGTTCACTAATACTAAATTTTTTATCAATGTCACGACTTAAATGAAAAAAAAGTATGTTACTGGTTACGAATAACATGTAATTGGTGATCTATTTGAAAGGATTAGGAGTCTATCAAGTGGTCTTTAAGAGGCACATAGTATTGCAATGCTTGAACTTGAATAAACTGGATCCTCACTCGTAACCGTTATCACGGTTTAAGTTAAAAGTTGATCTCACTCGCTTACCTTGTAAAGAAATATGCAGCTAATATGGATAGCCAAACGTCATTCTCCAATACGGTCAGGAACTTGAATAGAGAGGTCGGAGTCCGTGGCAATTTCATCATAATCGTTATACCAACGAGATCGTAATACGGAACAGTGAAATCGACGACGTTCTCCCTCTCTGCCATCACTGATAAGGAGGTAAGGCCTATATCTGCCCTCTTCTCCATCAGTTCCTTTATAATACCATTCCAGTTCCCGTTTTCATCCATAGTGCCAAAATTGCTATCTGGCGACAGAACTATTTCGTAATCGAACTTGACTATTTGACGGATCTCTTCGATTAAGTCTATACAATATCCCTTGAAGCCTTTAGGAGCATCATCGTCTCTTATAATAAAAGGTTCTTGCTGAAATAATAATGTGATTATTGCAGGGAATAGGGATGACGACTAATTATTATTTTTATTTATTATATTCATATTCATTTTATTTATTTTCTACATAATCAATAAATTACGGCGCAACATTGCGTTAAAATGTTGCATGACGTCACGCTTAACGTAGCAAGCCCCACTCCTCAACTTTAATGCTTAACAACTGAGCCATTTCTTGTTTTAATTGAAGAAAAATTAAACGTATCTATTATCTGACTCACGGACTAAATAGAATTTCTTTTTTTTATCGAGCCGTCACCCCTATTGTTCATTAAGTACAAATAGATTACTACAAAATTCAAAATTTTAGCAATCAGTTAAATTTAGATTTAGACTTAAAATCGATTGGAGAAATCTTGTTGTAATGTAAGGTTCTGTTTTCTGAACATAAGTGTATACAATATAACATTATTCATAAACCTGAAGATTATGAATAATGTTACATTCTCTGTTATGACAATGACATGATTATTTATACAGTTGTTATTATGTAAACTGACAAAATTTTATCATGTTTCCTATGGAAAATTAAACATTACCGAGTTCATTCACCTACCTCGACAGTGACTACTCTGTATACTAATTGAGCAGAATAATCACTCATATTGTCAGGATCAGTCAAGGACAGACGACTTGAAAGACCCGCCTTCCAGGAGCCAAGCGATCGACTACCTATAGATGCCCCATCTTTAACCGTTACTGCCGTTAAATCTGTGTTGAACTCCATATAACTCCTTCCATTCATTGGATCATCTTCCGGTATATAAAATGGTGCATATGCAGGAGTTTCTTTTATCTAAAAATCATTTAATTATATTTTTAATTCAATGGTCATTATTAACCCATCTGTCAATACGAAACGTGTCAAATACCTCTTGGAAAGCCGTCTTTAGGTCCAAGGTCCTGTTAGGTGTATTCTTACCGTCATAATCGTCACATGTGATGTATTTCATGTCGTTTGGCCACTTGCCAGAATCCAGTAGTGATCTGGAAATTCATAAATATGAAACCTCGTGGAATATACCAGTTTAAAATTAGATAGGTACGCTAACACGTGGTAAACTAAGGTTAACATTGGTGCGAAAGCACTAAAACCAAAGGTCAATTACTTTACAGCTAAAAATGTGCGCAGCGATAGGTCAAAGTAAAACGCAGAGGTGATCTCTGGTTCCCCGTTCATGCTGTATGTTGTTTTTATTTTTCCAAGACGGTCTCTACTCTTCGCATCGGGTGTGGGCCGCAAATATACTATAGTAGCATCTTTGCAACTACAGCTTATATCACCCTTGTCTAATGATAAAGCGAACCAAGCTGTTTTCTTTCCAAAATATTGGTTTTCATCCGCCGCATCAAGAACATTCTTTATGGTTCTCAGACTGCCAATGATGAAAAAATTCACAATATCCAACTCTCGCAAACTTCGCAGTTGTGTTTTAATTTCATCTTTGTTGAAACTCTTCACGGGAGTTATGACATGACGCGTCGGAATATTTTGCAATAGGGATTTGTACTTGTGATCCATTACTGTGAAAACATAAATGCGTATTTAGTTAAGTACTCGTATAAGTTGAAAAAGCTTTTAATGTCTCCAAAGATATACATACCGAATAATTCGTCAAACATTATGGCAGCGTTAGTAATATCTTGTTTAGTGACAATGGCCCTGACTGACTCGGGAAGAATATCAGCTGGTGGCATGATTTGTAAAAGAAATCTAGTTTGATTCGCATCGAGGGATCTCCATTGGCGTAGGTCACCGGCTTGTCCGAACGACCCAGAAATAGTAGGTAATGCTAATGCAGCAGTGAAAGATTTTATAGTTTCCGAACCAACACCGGTCATAGTAAAATCAAGGACAACGTGCGGAGTTTTCTTTGAAATTACCATATCATTATACTTCCTGCAAACTGAAGATAATAAAACAATATATATTTATTATATTTGATCAATTTTGTACTGAATTAACAATGTTATAAATGAAAAATGATTCAAAATCCACTTTGTCTATGGCACTCTTAGAAGGGATTCGCAATCCGGGCGACTACTACTAAGCTACCCAGGACCTACCAAAATATTTTTAGCTATAGCATTGTGAATGCAAAATTAATATAATATAATATATTTTTATCAAGAAAATTTATATTGTTGAAGTTTTTCTAAGCAAAAGAATATTTGAACAGCTAAAAAGGATTTAATTTGCTTTGAGTGGAATCTCTACATGCCTAAAGACTGTATTGAGTTCAAAACCTTACGACGGCAATAAAACTAAGTATTCACTTCATATCGTAAACTCAGAAATTATGTCAGATTTACTAACAATGCCAGAAAATAGCACAGAGTATGCAAGGTAGATAAGGATATCTGACTTACCATTTTCTAGAAACGCTTTAGCGTCAGTTCTGTTGCCTACAATGATAACAGGGTCAACAGATAAACCAAGGGTTGGGTTCCTTCTTACATATTCCTTCGCAACTTCGAAAGACTTCTCCGCGAGCGCATTATTCTCTTCATTAATCAACACTATAACAAAAAATACATTAATTAGTCGTTTAAACGATAAATTATTAGATATTTTACGGGGTATACATACAAACGTTGATGTTTTGAGTCGTCTGAAATGTAGCTAAGTGAAATAAGGAACACAAACAAAAAATTCTGAACGCACGCCTCATGTTTTTGTTTGTAACTCTTAAATATGAGAGGGAATAAATGAGTATCTCCACGGCATTGTCTGGTGGTGGCATTTACTGCCGGTATACTAGCCCCTTATGAAGTAACTCGGCTGACACGTGTGTCCTGTGTACTATTCAGTTACCACGGAGATAGTCAACCTTGATATCCGTGATTATTGATGTTCAAAGCTCATCACTAATAATGTTTGTACCTACTCATGCATAAGTTACCACACAATGACAAATATCGATGGTCTATTATGAACTTAATATTCAATATTAGAAAGTTTGGAATCATAAATTCTCAGAATTGGATAACACATTGTTCATTATACATACACATAAGTATCTTAATATCAATACGACGATGGAATTATTATTTTCAAATAAAAAGTATAATTAGTCGACGATTTTCATAAATAACTTACTTCAGAATTTTCCGCAAATGTATTGCACAACGCTGACAATATATATTAATATAAATGTGAAAGTAACTCAGTTTGACTGCTACGCTTTCACGGCAAAATCGCTGGGCTCATGTGGTTTATCATATAGCATTAATTTAGACAATAACTTCAAAGAAAATATGAGGAGGTAGAGGAGGTAAGTAATGATGATATAAAATGAGACCACCCAATGATAATATCAGCTTTAAAAATATATATAGGCATGCTCCTTTGGTTTGCATATGAAAACTTTGATTGATTATAAATCAATGTGTGGAAATAACGTCGGCTGAAAGAATTTTTGTTTCCCTCGACTGCAAAGAATGGTATCAATCAATTCCTCGCCGCCAATCAAATAAACTAAACCTACTTCAAATGATAGTAAAAGCTTTATTTCATTTCATTGAGTTTAAAGCAAAACTGCTTTGCTGGTTGTTGCTTTTCGGGTAGGTTTAGTTTAGTAATAGGTTCCGTAGTTCCGGAACTTCTGAACCTATTGACGGAGGAGGCGGATTTAAATAATCTAATAAAGCTTATTCCTTAGAATCTACAAAGTATTTTAGCTGTAGTAAAATAAAGTAAAAAAAGCAACTTAAACTTTAAGCGATTTAAACTTTATTCTGTTTATACTTTAACAATTATTTTCATCGAAAATAGAACAGATTCTCATGAAATATATTGACAGTGAGTTTATAATGTATCTAGATAAACAACTAGGTGGATCGATCAGGTGAAACCTTCATCATCATCCAAATTTTACACCGTTGTAAGAGATGCGCTGGACAGGAACCAATGGACACAAGTCATTCATACCAGATGCAACCATTGGGTTGTTGAATGATAATTGTATCATTCATAGTTACATGAATGAATGACCGAGCCATATTTTTGTAAAAAAAGCATCAAAATATCGGCACAAGTGTGTAAAGATATCATTCTCAAGAAAGCAGTTATGTACCTTAACAACATCATGTTCAATAACCAAAGATGGTCCTTTCAACAAGACTCGGTGCCAGGTCATAAAGCTCAATCCACCCAATCTTGGTTCATCAGAGTTCACCAGTAGCAGTTCCACAAACAGCATCATATCTCGCAGACATCCTGTACATTATTTCTCAACAACTTGTACATTATTTTTCAGATATGAATAAACTATTTATTTATAAAATAAAAAGTAATCATCTAGTCTATTGTTTTTTTTTTACTGTTATGGCTGGTTTACATCTAATGAAGTTTTTTTTTATTATTTATTATAATATATTAACGCTATTTATTTATTTATCCTTCTCTATATTGCACCCACTCCCCATAGTATCTTTATTTTTTATCCATTTATTAGTGCGATTTTCAATTTAATTTTAAGTGACTACTTACGTAAAAACACAGATAAGTAGCAAGTTAACATTTACTTAACTATTTATGAACTTAATCAGAATTGATATTCAATACTGGTGAGTCTAAAAGCCAAAGCCATGCCACACCATGCCAGCCCCTGGGCAAAAAAAAAAGTTGAAGGTCTCTAACTAGGCACATATGGTATATAAGTAATGCTAACATTAAAATTTATGGCGGAAACAAGCTTGAGACATCTAGCAAACTTTTCTGTCGGATGTCCGTATCTTCAAGGACGGCCCAAGGTTATATCTGAAGATTTGCTTGTACAGTTAACTATTCAGAAACGTAGGTACCTATTCTATAGTGACATACGATACAATTCCAGTTCAATTTTAGCTGGACTTTATTTAGTAGAATTGGCCCCCTGTATAGTAATATGTATGTACGATATTTATTCCCGCCTTTATTGTTTTAATAAAGATACCTACATGTTAAGGGTAAAGGTATAAACATAAACATACAAATTTTCTTAAATAAATTCTTATTTTCAAATTATAAATAAAAATATATTTAAGTATGAATGTTAGTCAATCTTAATTCATACTAGTGCAGCAAAAACGTATCGACCAAATTATTGACATACACATATTGAAAAATGAAGACTCAGTACATAACTGCAATTTCGCGAGATTAATTTGAATTCAGTGAACAAAACCACTATAGAAACAGTTTTATTACATAACTAGCGGTGCCCGCAACTTCGTCTGCGTGGGAAGTATTTTGGTAGAATTCTTTTATTCCTATGGATGGAGTCGAATCAAATAAGATCAATGGGCCATAACCCACTATGCGGGCTTAATGCGGATCGGTGGGTGTTAACGTTGCTGATGCAGCCAGGACTAATGGCTTAACGTACATTGTGCCAGTGTTGTGCACAGTGCTCAGGATAATAATGTTTTGGTCACCCATCATGTCCTTACGAATGTAATTTTCTATCTTTTTTCTTGTTCTCGCGCTCTGGTTGTCGTTTGTGTCTGAGAATTTTATTCATACCTTGAAACTGTCCTTCTTTTGTTTTTGATCTTTTTAAATGATTATTATTTGTCTAGTTGTATGCACAATCGGCAATTTATTGTTCTTTTTTCCATGTAATGCTAGGTTGCCTGGAAGAAATCGCTTGCTAGCGATGAGTTTGTCGTTAGTACTAAGTTACGTAAAATAATTATTCATGTATGTCCTTGTTGTGCAGTATTTTACTTATTTATTTCACTGCAATTTAAATCGAATGCGCTAACCCACTAACGCCATCGAACCTCTTATACCTAAGATATACCTATTAATAATAAAAAAACTACTGGACCGATAGTTTCAGAGCGATTCTATCTACGGGAAGTTGTCATAATTTTGCGGCAAAATCGCGGGAAGAAAGCTAGTTCATTATTCCTTGTGAAAACTTATCTGCGGTACGCCTGTGGAGTATGAATGTAACACGGGTTGGCGATAATCAAAACTACTTTCTCGATCTCTATTGTGCAAACTGCGAGCTCTTTCAGAGACCAAGCGCATTTCTCTATGAAAGGAAGTTTCATACTCATACCATACTGCATGTAGATTACGATCAGCAGTTAGACGCGCTATGCGATCTTCAGAAGTTTTCTGTGATCAAATGCTTGTTATATGAGTTCTCCGAGAGCTCAAGAGATTGTCCCTGACAGTAAATGTTTCAGATTCAACATTATAGTGCATGAGCCTGGCGATAGGCAGCAAATACGTTTCACGTTTTCAGGTATCTCCCGAGACCGAGCGCTTTCCGTCCGATCTCTTTCTTTGTCAATAAAAATCGGTCGGTACATGTCTGATGGAAGATACGAGGAGTTTTATTTTTTATATAAAAAAATATATACATATTTTAATTTCGACTTTCCACACTCGAAGGAAATCGTCTACTAACACATACTTCCGAGAGGTGCTTAACTGAGCTTCCGTCAGATTTGAACGGCCCTCATCATCAACATCAGCTCTTTTACGTCACCAACTGCAGGAGCCTTATGGATTAAGGAGGATGGGCCACGACGCTCCATGTTGGCCCAATGCTAATTGGAGGATATTAACGACTGCAAATTCAACCGGGACCAATCACTTTACGTGCCTTCGAAAGCTTGGAGTTGCTTGAGATAATATTTTTTGGTCACCCATCCTGTTAAAGACCTTTGCAAAAGTTGCTTAACAACTAAAATCGTGAGCCTCGGCGTTTATTTACTACGCCACCGAGCTACTCTGAACCGATCCTCAGACTCGCGTAATATTATATGTGTTGTGACCAATGAATAAACCATTGTTTCCAGCGAAAACTGAAAATACCAACTTTGAAGTACGTATCTACAGCAATTTGTATGTTAAAAAAAGAGTTAACATAAAAAAATAGTAATAAGAGAAAAAAAATATATAACTCGAGTTGTCTTTACGTTCTTAACTTCTGTTGACGTGAATCTAACTTTTTTAACGTCGTGGAAACACTTCTGACATTGTCTCTGTTACCTGGCAAGCAACAGGGGTGAGTAGGATTCTCCTCCGTGAATCCGACAGTGAGCTGCCCAGTAGGTCCCCAGAGGCCTACCAACCAAAACCCGTACGCTACACCCTCTCATGGGAGACGAACACGGCAAGCTATGGCCGAGCCACCAGGACACTCAAGTATTGGAACATTGGTCCCATTGCAGATGAAATTGGAGAGGCTTGGGTAAATCGAATGACTCTCCCAGACAGACGAAACCGTGCAATCCGGGGGCGACTGCCAACCACCTCCGCTGGCCCCGACGACGACGTGAACCTAATCTGATAAAAATATGCGTTCACTGTAAACTACTCGAGGCTTAATTGAATCATCGGAAGGCTCTTTCCGCTTGTTCTCCTACTCGCGTGATTGTATACCACACGTCTATTATAAGCTGAACCCTATTTAATATGATTGGCCACATAGAAATGAGGTCAACATACTTCGAGTAGTCAAAATTTTGGAATCTTATTTTTTGTCTTCATACAAATTTTCATTTTTTAGACAATAATAATTCGTAGCTCAGTGGCGCTACGGATATGCGCCGCTGCGCACGATCGCTATTGCTAAGCAATTTTCGCAAGAGTTGTGTACGGGATGGGTGACCAAAAATTATTAAACAAAGGCCTGAGGCCCTGCAGTTTGGCTGTGAAAGAGTTGATGATGATGATAAATATATCAAAGACGAAAATTTAATAAAACTAAATATTTCATAGCAATTTTGGCGACCACGTCACTTCAAATTGACATAACTGTTTTATTTGTTAACCGATTGAAATAAATCTTACACTAAATGTTAACGGAAGAATGCCGCAACATAATAGTGAAAACTGCATTTAAATAGGTTCAGCCGTTTCTGAGATTATCGTGCACAAACGCACAAACAGACAAAAAATTTAAAAATCATTGATTTGTATTCTATTACGCTTATAAATGTTCCTTATAAGTTTTTTTCATATATCTTCAATGTACAGACATCGATCGGTTACGTTTTTATTATAGTATAGATTTGAGCGTTATTATTGGTGCAAAACTACTACTACCTTGTAATTTATTGTACGCGCTATCTCAAAGCGGCATCAAAGGACCTTTTTCTCTGAATAAGTTTGAACCGAATTCTTGAGATGAGGATTAATTTGAAATTTAGCTCATCTTTGTTGGTATAATGAAAATGGAAAAGAAAAACTGGTTTCGATTGGACTATTTTATTGCCAGAAATGTTTACAAACACTAACAGCTCCACAAGTGAGAGAAGTGTTATAACTGTACACACTACATCTCTAATACTAAATGTACTTTTGAAACAATTTAAATTTATTGTTAATAAGGTATTCAGAAAAAGTTAGTCAAAATTTCTTATTACAATATACTTCATACCAAATACAAACATGTATTTTTAAAGAAAAATGAAGATTCGTTTTCACAAATGTTATCTTACAATCGAACTTTGTTATGTATCACATACAAAAGAGAAAATAAATTAGAAAAACAGGATATAAGAAAAATAAAGATGTTCATAGAAATACAAAATAGCACGCAGAATTAATTAATATGTCAATATGAACTATCACCTTGTCAAGTTTGAACTTTTTAAATTTTGAAAATCTTATAATTAGTGTCACATGTGAACTTATACATAAATAACTCCTTGTGAGTTGATTGAAGTTTGTGAGTAACAATAACATTGTATTAAGGGCATGGGGCAGATCAGTTTCCTGCATAAACTCCAACCAGACCACATGGAAAACTTCCATGTTCACATAGTAATCCGTAACCAAATGTCAAAGGAATGTTTAAATGGTTAAGTAAATATGCCTATGCAATATATCAATGTGCGATATTTAACTGCTAACTTAAATTTACAACTGAATTAATTATCTAAACATTTTAATTAGTCTTAGTTTATCTAAAAATCCTTGTTTTTCGGAAGCTGTCTAATAAAATTGCGTCGTTCACAGAACGGATCGTGAATTGATTTCACTCGGGGTGAATACTTTGGCAGTATATTACTGGCGAAACTAAGTTATCCAATACCAATGCTTGTTAACTTTCATCAATTCAAAAACCCATCTTCTAAGTCTGTTGAAATAGACACCAATACGCAAAACAGCATACAACACTAAAACCGACTCGTATGTGTGATCAGTTCACTGCGATGCACACCTCAAGCACTACTACAGACAGTTATCATTAATTTACAATTTACAGGTACTTCACAGGTAAATTTAATACATAAGTATTATAAACCTAAACTTAAAGTGTGGTCACAAAAGAGCTCAACTCCTTTGAATAAATCAGATCAATATACATTTGTGTATAAAAACTATGGTTTTTGGCTTTTTATTGTATTGGCATTAGATATGTATCAGCTTAGTTTTGAGTTGAGCTCTAATGAACATCAATGCATTGCAGTAAACCAAGCTTAAATATGAGGTGTAGAGTCTTAAGCTGCAGCTTCTTCCACCTCTGCAGGTGGTGCCTCATCAGCTACTTTCGCCTTCTTTTCTGGTGTGGTCTTGTCTTCACCATTATCCGTTGCTATGGATTTCCTCTTAACACCAGTCTCTTTCTTTTCTGAAAATGAAATGTGTCAATTATTATCTTGTCTAATAAAAATAGGTTTTGAAAACTGTTTATATTGACTACAATAATAAAAACAA